TAGATGATCCCTTTTACCCTCATCACACCCTTTCCAAAGAAAATCTCTCATCAATTTCTCAATTTTCCTCGCAATGTTGACCGGAATTTTGAACAAGGATAAGAAGTAAATAGGAACATAACCCAACAAGGACTGTACCAAAGTATACCCCCCTATAGATAATAAAGCTCACTTCCAACCCTCCACTCTTTTCCCAATTTTGACAAATACAAGCTCCCAAAAAGATGCCGATCTAGGATCTCCTCCCAATGGAAGCCCCAAATATTGAGAGGAAACTACTCAATGGGACATCCCAGCATATCCGCCATCCTTTGCACATAGGTAGACTCCAAATTAATACCCACAACACTACTCTTACTAAGATTGACCTTGAACACCGACACAATTTCAAAGATTCTCAAAAGCATTAGCAAATTGCCAACCTTGCCCTCCATTGACGGAAAAAAAAGATAGTGCCATCCACAAACTGTAAATGGGTGACACCAATCCTATCCCTACCCACCACAAATCGTTTGATAGCATCCTTGTCTTTAGCTAGATCGATGATTCTACCCAACACATCAACAACTAAAATAAACAAAAATGGTGACATTGCATGACGACATTCACAATGACCGAAAAGAATTCCCAGGCTTACCATTCACAATGACCGACATATTTGCATGACGACACACACTCCCAAATCCAGCTCCTCCACCTAGACCCAAAGCCTTTCCTTTCCAACACAAAATCCAAAAGCCCTAATCCACATGATCATATGCTTTCTTGAAATCCACCTTAAAAACAGCGCTCTTTTTATGCAATCCTCTATACTCCTCAATTAAGAAACACGGACGCAAATACGGATGCGGACACGGATGCGGACACGGACACAGACACAGGACATGGCGATTTCCAAAAAATGGGGACACAAACACGACAGGGACACAACAATAAAATATGTTTTCATATATTTTTATTTGCTATCTACATTAATATTACATCCACAAACAATCAATATTAACAAAAACTAACTCTAATTCTAATTCTATATTTTTTTATACCAAAAAAAAAAAAACTTTTAAATTAACACATCTTTTTTTATAGATGATCTATTAAGTATTTAAATCTAAGAAAAAAAATAATAAGCATTTAACATTCATCAAAAGTACTAAATAAAATGGAAAAAAAAAAAGATAACTTGGCATGTCCCTAGTGTGTCCCCTGAAAATAAATTAATTAAATAAAGAAACACGCCATGCGGTGTGTCCCATACGTGTCTCTGTCGTGTCCATGTGTCCCCAAAATGTCAACAATCTCATTGGCCACTAGGACCACATACAGGATTTGCTGTCCATGCACGAAGGCCCCTTGTGAGGGAGAAATGATTTCCCCAAGGACAGCCCTAATTCTTTTGGAGAGCACCTTTCCAAAAATTTTGTAAAGTGATGTAACCAAACTAATGGGCCTAAAATCTCCAATCTTGACCGACTTCTCTTTCTTGGGAATGAGACAAATGAATGATGCATTGGTGCATAAGTTAACCTCTCCACTCTCTAAAAACTCACCAAACACTTTCATAAGATCCCCTTTCACGATCTCCCAACAGTCTTGATACACTTGCCATTGAGAAACCATCCGGGCCTAGAGCCTTATCTCTCTCGCATTCAAACACGGCCTATTGGATAGGCACCGAACATTCTTCAAAGGGTATCTCGAGCCAACTGGCTTTCAAGGTATCCACAGGAGCCCAAAAAATACCTTCGATCCCTAGACGGTCCACTCCTCCATCAAAATAGAGAATCGAGTAAAAATTGAAAATCTCATTAATGATTTGCTACTCCTTATTCACCACCAATCCTTGCCCAATTTCCAAATTTTTAATGAAATTCTTCTTCCTTTTCCCCGACACAACCGTATGAAAAAATCTTGAATTGATGTCGCCCTCTTTTGCCCATTTCAACTTAGCTCTGTCCCCAAAAAATCTACTCCCTAAAATCAAGCTCTTCCAACTTTAATTTGAGCAATGATCTCTCATCTCTTGAAGTCCTAGATAAACACTCCCCAGACTCCTTTGCATCCAAATCTTCAATACCCTGAACTAACTCTGCTTTCAACTCATTTAGATCACCAAAAACTTCACGCTTCCAATCCTTTAAACTCTCCTTGACCCTCTCAACTTTCGCATAAAACCCATGGACTCTTCCATTCTCCCACCACTCCTTGAAATAAGCTTTAAAGGAGCAATTTTCCAGCCATACGCTCTTGAATATGAAGGGGGTTGGACCCCATTTGAAGGGACAACTCTCAAAAATCACCAGGCAAAGGTCCAAAACAACTCTTGGCGCTACCTCTTGCTGTAAATTAGGAAACAACTCCTCCCAACCCAAAGTACGATGAAATCTATCCAACCTATAGCAAACACGATTCTCTTGAAGATTAGACCAAGTAAACCGAGCATTACTCAAGGATAGATCAATCAACTCACACTCTTATAAAGGAATCGAAATCCCACATACTTCTATTTGTAGAAACCCCATTGAGCTTTTCTGAAATCAGCCTAACCAAACAGCCTCCTCAATATATATTATACATATATATATATATATATATGTTGCAATACATGTTGTAGAAGCTAAATAGACATGCTTAGAATCAAAACCACAACTGGGAGAGCTTCTGCATATGCTCATATGCATTTTATGCCAAGTAATAGGTAGAAGGAATAAATAGTTGATTGTTCTTACAAAAAGCTCAAAAGATGTATCAAAGCAAATTATGGGTGAACAAAAACTGAGAAAAAAAAATTATTCACCCAAAAAAAAAAAAAAACTGATAAAAAATTAGAAGGTAGCATCATTAAGGAGCAAAAAATTACCTCCCAGTCTGTACAAATAGGAAGAATACGCTTCAAGTTACTACATTGGGCTGCATATACTGCTGTTTCATATTTCCCACCATCTTGCTCTGCAATTCTCTTCAATATAAGAAGGCATAGAAGAAAGAAAATCACTCAATTGATCGACCATTTTTTAATGGAGATATGGCAGCATCTTATTAAGCTACGAACATTGAGAATCTCCAAACAACAAGAGCAGAAAACAATTTACAATAACATCGATTGTCTACCAATCTTACAAGAGAAAGTGAACAAGATTTGATTTATCAATCAATGGGAGTTGCTGAAGAGAAAACTTAGAGCCACAAATATTGAGAAAAAGGGAGCACAAGGAATTTGTGTGCGACATTTATAGAAATCATTGTAACTGCATAAGAAAGTTCGTTCACAGAAAGTACTTTGATTAAATATTTTT